TCCCTGTTTTGTTACCTCTGAAAGACTTATCATTTGACATGTAACGTATTTTATTTGCTTTGTCTTAACATCTCTTCCACTAAACTATCAGCTCCACAAATACAGGTTATTTTTTTTTTTTAATTTAAAGAGAAAAAAGAAAGGACATAAAAAAAAAACAAAGCAGTAAAAGGGTACAAGTAATACAGAATTTCAAGAAAAAAATATACAGTAAGAAATCACTAGTTAATAGGTTACATATTGTCTTCTTAGAAACAGTTGTCCAAATTATAAAATTAAATCATATAAAGTGGACATTCATACAGTGATATTGGAGACAGTTCTGTTCAATGATCCAACAAAAGCTCAGTAATATGGTTTTCCATCCTACACACTCAAATGTGTCTGCAGTTATATCCCTTAGTCCACCTTCCTTTTCTCTCTTTTTTACAATAACAATTACACTTTTTGTGTTTTATTACTCCCAAATACAGGTTATTTTTTTCTGTGTGCTAAGACCTAAAATAGTAGAGATTAAATAAATATTAGCTGAGCAAATTAGTATCTTTTTTGGGGATCTTTCTTAGGATCAAATTTATTTTCACCTGGTTAAAGATAATTAAATTAAATTTAAAATTAAATAATATTCTCCATGAAGTACTATCTTCCTTCAAAAAAGGAGCCAATTCCCGAAAATCCCAAATGGTGATGATAATTACTCTTCAAATTTGCCTCTGTGTATGTGAAAATGATATTTAATTAAGAATACATGTATTTATTCCACTTTAAACCTCTCATTTCTAGGTTTATTTCACTATTCAGTCTTTCTAAATTGTATGGCTTCTCTTCATCTTCCCTGGTTTACCCTAATTTTCTTTTGCCAAACCAAACTATTATTTCCTCTGAATTTGGTAGTAGCTAAATCCTTTTTTAAAAAATCAACTGGCATGAGGTTAGACAATAAGACTAATCCTGCTTATAAAAGGTCAAGAGAGTTGCATGTAAACCTAAAGTTCTGGAAAGACTGGAAAATGAGAAATTAATAGTGAGACTGAGAACATTAAACAATTCCTTAGCCTCTGCTGCCTCCCATGTGGACCACAGCCTTGTTTCTATACGCATCTCCCCACTTTCCACAAGCATCTCCACTGCTCCTCGTACTCCATGTGTCGCCCTATGTGTGCACACACTCTCACTCCCTTTTGAGTTACTGGTCAGTGCCAATAAACGCAGGGTCCCCTAGTTTTCTCAGCTCAGTGAGACTTGGAGTGAAACTGGAGTCGCTGGGGCCAGCACTGACTACCCAGCTTTAACTGATGTCTTAAGTCTCTTTTGTTTTTAACCAGAGAGCAAGGGTTGGGAGCCCTGAGGAGTTGGGGGGCAGAGGCTGATATTCTACATCTGCTAACGGCCACACTGCACAACATTCCTCTGCTCCATCACCATGTGCATGATTGCCTATCAAGAGTTTCAACCACAGCCTATTTCTGCAGTTTTGACTTCCAAGAATGCATTTCGCAAGATTATCTGGGACTCTTCCCAGCTTCATTTTGACCAATCCCCAGAATCATCACGTACCAAATCTACTTTCATGCATGGCCCCACACAATGGTCATTACTCACATGCTCCCAGAGCATCTGTCCCATGCTGCCATTTCCCTGACCAGATCTCCCTTGACTGGTTTTGAAAATAAGAATGTGATGAATTATATTTCATTGATAGAGGGAAACAGATAATGTTAGTGAAGGAACAGTGACAGAAAAAGAAGACAACATGGGAAAATGTTATGATAAAATATTAATAAAACATTTATAGGGCTGAGGATTTAGCTCAGCAGCATAAGCATCTGCCTTGCAAGCGTGCAGTCATGAGTTTGATCCCCGGTTCCAAAAATAAAAATAAAACATTTATAAATCAAACTTCCATTGTGATTATATTAAAAAGACAAAAGTTGGACGATGATTGCGATGGTTCCCACCACAACTAGATCACCAAGTTATCTCTTCAATGCCAGCAATTTGCCAGATTCCTTTTACCTTGACTCCCTCCTACACAGTCACTTGACCTCAGAGCAGCTCTAAGTCATAGTTTCTAGTTTCAACATGGTCCCACCTCCTCACATACTCTGGACCAGCAAAAACACAGCCACAACTCTGCTTACACCTTAACATTCACCTGGGCTGCAAAGGCAGTTGGGGGGTGGAGAGAAAGCAATGCAGCTATGCACATGGCACACAGTTGAGAAACGGCAGCAAGCAATAGAAAAGCTGCTGCCCAGCTCCAAAATGGGCTGCAGCCTTCCAGCCGCACAGGGCTTGATACAACAGCACTTACGTAGCCAGGATTTATGTAGCTGCTACAGCACAGTATGGACACCGAGCTGTGGAAAACTTAAGTTTGTTCATGATCTCAGTGACCAAAGTTATTCCAATAGTGCTGCTTTCTCATGTCTTTTTTCTAAGCAAAAGAAAAATAAATTCTGAAGGAAACAAACTAATAATGATAGCATTTTATTCTCTCTGTTGCCCAAATTATGTAAATGTACTGGGACATAAAAACACCAGGCTCTTGAGTCTTTTAAAATCTGAACTACTTGAGAAAAAGGCCTGAGTAAACCTGATCTCTACAAACTATAGTTGGAGCTTTCAAAATGCCAGATGGAGAAAAACAGAATACTGATTTTTCAGTTCCTTTTCTTCTTCTCAGGCTTCTGTTTTCAACTTTAGTTTGCCTTTGGGATCTCTTGGCTCCCACGTTCATACTGTCACCTGCATTTCTGATTTCAAAATCTGGTCTGGATCAACTCACCCAACATTGTCTTGGCATTGCCCAGCCCTCCTACATGAGTGGATCCGTGATTCACACTGACGCTGTAATCTTCTGCCCACAAAAAGAATTGTTCTTATAAATATAAGGCTTGATTCCCTGGAGCACTATGTTCTCAAGGGACCCCTTCTGCATCTCCTGTTTGTTTGCCATGGAGACAGCAATGGGTAATATTTGTTTACTGCGAGACTGAAATATACTAGCTATGGTGATGCAAAGGAGAAAATTATAAGTAGCTATTTAAGAGCTACACAAAAATCTGGTACGTAACGAGCATCAGAGATGTGAAAATCTGTAGGGCATAAAACAAATCCCAGATTCCTCCCCAAACATGATATGAACATACAACTAGAAAAAGATAACAGCTAGGATACAGAAATCTGTTATCAACTATACATGGAGAGTAATCGTGATCAATGGTTTTTAACTCCATTGGTGTAGGTAAGGAAATGGCTCTTGATAAGCAGCACGACAGTGAAACATTAAAAAGTGAGCTGGGCATAGTGGTGCACACCTGTAATGCCAGCACTCAGGAGGATGATGCAGGAGGATGAGTATGAATTTTGAGGCCAACCTGGACTACATAGAGAGTTCAAGTCTAGCTTAAACTACATTGTGAGACCCTGCCTCAAAAAGAAAGAAAGAAACAAACAAACCAATGCTAAAGGTATTGCAAAGTGGAAGACTGATGGTGTATCTGTACTTCACTGGTTGTGATGAACACACTGCTGAGGCATGCCAATCTCTAATACCACAATACACTAGAATTCTGTCCCCTAGAAAACTCTTTTATTTTCATTATATGAATTAGTATGAACTGCATATATGTTTACCTTACGCACCAACACCTTGCTGAACTCAGCTCTTTTTAGGTTATGCTACCTAAAGAGTATCAACCAGAAAGTCACTAAAAGAAAGGGGAAGCTCCCTAAGTTTGTACCAATATCATTCATGAATGTGAAACATCTGTCAGTTCTGTTCTACAATCAATTCTAAAAGTATGAAGATCTACAAAACTGCTCTGCTCCTTTAAGACACAGGAATATTGGTGAGCATTTGTAATTTCCTTCACTGAAAATCTCACTACATACAGTAAGAAAGTCATTGAATACTATGTCTTTCTATTACATCTGAGTGATTGCCCAGTAGGCAATCTGCGAGCAAGCCACAGGAGCCCCACACTGTGAAGTAAAATGGGATCGTGGGTAACAGTCTTCTGTGATCCTTTTCAGCCCTGAGCACTGTCTGCTTTCCTGACTGTCGGCTGAACTGAATGGGCAGTGAGAAAAAAAGCAAAGAACGAGTTCATTTTTTGGTCTTCACTAATATCATACCCTGCCAATTACAGACGTGGCACTTATATACTTGACTTTGAAAATAACCCCCAAAAGATTTTTGCATTGCTAACATAATTGATAAAATAAGCCCTTTGTAGTAGGGACAAATATCAGTAAATCCAGGTGGGTCCTGTCATGCTTTTCCTACATATCTGATACAATACTATGGCAGATCCTCTCTCTCTACATGAGCCTAATATAAAATCTACTTAGTACACACATTTTGCAAGGCATCCTATGCACTTAATTTTCTTTAAACAAGACACTAATGAAATCGCTGTAGCATCTAATAAGATTTTTAATTCCTAAGGGTAGAAAGCATGCTAATTTTTAATGAGTCTAATTGAGTAGAAGCATTAGTTCCCCCCTCTTGATAGGAATAACCAATAGAATATCCCTAGTCCTAAATGGTTTATTATTAAGGTTCCTGAAGGAAATCAGAGTTGGCGTATGTCCATTGTAAATGACTAGCAACAGCCCATGTGTAATTTGCTCAGTAAAGACAACAAGTTTCCGGAGTTAACAAGAACATAAACAGCAACAGTATCAGTGAGTCAGAGTACCAGTATTAGTGAATGAAGTGCAAGTTTTAGAAAGCCAATGCTCTTTTACTGCAGAGTAATTTCCCGCCTGCAATTACAGGAGTAATGGGAAGATCAAGCCTGGAGTGCATGATGCCCAGACGCAGCAGTTCAGGAACCTAACGACACTGCAGCTTTGAAGACAGTCAATGCCACCAGAGCTCATATCAGACGTGGAACCACTGCAGAAAAGTTTTCTAAACAATCTTTTCCCCTGTTTTGTGCAAAAATCTCTAGCTAACCAATACAAACTTAAAAAACAGTAGTTGTACTCACAAACTCCGGGACTTGGAAATCCTGCTGTTCTTCTAGTGACCCGCAATTAGAGAGAATTGTCTGGTCCAAGTTTTCCAACACTAAAAATAAGTAGACAGATAAATCAATCAATAAAGCAGGCAAGCAAGCACACGTTTTTCACTGACTATACATGACAAGGAGAGAATGCATGGCCCATCCACAGCTTTTTTTTTTTTTTTACATTTTTAATGCTTGCAGCTATGATAGAGGGTGTTCAGCAGCTGTTTCATCCACTGGACAGGACATCAGGTGTTCAGAGACCCTAGGCTAGGTCTAGTGTGGAAACTAAATAAAAGTCTAGCTAAGGAACATGTCAGCCCCCTACTGTTCTTTTTCCTGTTACAACACAGGGAACTGATGTGCAGTCATTTCAAAAACCTAAGAGGAAACAGATGAAGTTAATTTTAATAGTAAAATCTATTTAATCCACAATGCCAATTACCATCTGAATACTATAATCCATATTTTTAAAATGGTTAGTGAGCTGTTTTACATTTTTTTTTTCTTGGAGTAAGTCTTAGACATCCAGCATGTTATTTTCTACTCACCACCTATTTCAATGCAGACTTGCTACATTTCAAAGGTCCAGTGGCCACATGTGACTAGCAGGTACTATACTGGCCAAGTATAATGTGAATAGGGATAGAGAAAAAAAGTAGAAGGTAGGTCATTCTGCAAAACACTAGTCCTGTCTTGCCAACAAGATACTGACATGAATAAAAGGACTGTTCCAGATTAAAAATCACAAGAACACAAAATTTCAGGTTGGGGATTAGCTCTGCAGTAGAGCACTTGCCTGGTATATGGGAGGCCCTGGGTATGATCTCCAGGAAAGCAAAAAAAGAAAAAGAAGGAGAAGAATGGCACTATGGAAATATTGATGTGGGATAATTTTGGCTATGCAGGAAAATACTCTTCAGTATTTCAGTTCACATATAATTTAATGTTTAAACAAATTTAGATGTTCTCATTTATCAAAGACCTGAGTTTCTTCAAGTCAATGACATGAAAAAAGTAAAAAGCTTAAAGGGGCAAAAAGTCTAAGACACCTATAATTTATTAAAAAGATACGGCCCTCAACTGGCCCTAACTTGGACAAAGCAGTTGCAAAGGACTTATTTTTTTTTAAATTAGGTAGTATGAAGTATTACATTATAGGAAACTGCTTATAATTTTAGTAACTGTGATGTTGCCTTAGCTTTATAGTAAGTATAGTAACTTTTCCCCCTCCATAAACACTATGTTTAACAAAACAAAACAAAACAAAACAAACAAACAAAAAAAAAAACCATTAAAGACTTTTGTGAAGGAGAAGGCAGGTTCCTTCCTACCAACCCAGAAAAATTCCTCCTTTCAGTGGCCCAGAAGAATAACTCTTATGATTTGTGGAAGCAAACTCAAGTGACTGTTTACAAAACAAATCTGCCAACAATGGAGACAATTCAATGAACAAGTATGTGGGCTTGGAACCTAAGAAATCATCCAGTATTATAGTTTAGGTTCACACAGAATTGGAGGGGAGGGGGCTTTATTTGTCCACTTAATTCACGTCTTTGTGCTTCCTATGACCTAGAAAGAAAAGCTGGCAGAAATGACAGTACAAACGAGGGACTACATTTTTCTGAAAACTTCAGTTCAACAGAGTACTCCACATGGAACCCAGTGCAGAAATAGGACAAATTAGATGAACCTAGGCTTGAAAGTGAAAATCAAAGGTGCAGTTAAGATGCTTGCCTCTGAAAACCCCACGAGGGCAATGGAATTTCTATAGTCTGTTAAACTTAGTGCATTTTAATATAATAAGCTCCCTCTAACAGCAGAACAAAGGTTATCCAAAGTAATCATATTCCTGAAGATCACCCTTAAAACTAACATGTTTGTGTACACACTTGGCTGTGAGAAGAACGTTCTAAGCTGGTGTTATATAAATCTGTTACATCTGGAAGGGTAGAGTTAACCTTCTACGGCACTGAGAGATACTGAAGAAATTACTTCAGTGGTATTTATGATATGTTGTTTTATGGCAGAACCAGGAAGTTGATAAAACATACTACTGCATTTATTTTTACAGGATTATAAATCTGATGTAGTGGCTCCATGTCAACATCTAATCTGAATTCTTGTATGATGAGCTACCCTATTTATCTAATACATAACTAAGGTCAACAGATAAGAAAGAGCTCCTATCTTTGATTAGAGGGAGGCAGGCTTTATAAAAGTACTCATTTTGCCTAAAGACAGAAGAGAAAGAAAATGTATTATACAAATATCCTATCAAATTAAAAGTATATATGCAGCTTAAAAGGATTTATGAGAAAAAGATTTATAGTTTTATTCTTTTAGTAATGGAAGATAATATATTCATTAGTTAATGTTAACACAGAGGAGAAACTGTAAATTTGAGCAAATAAAAACAGAAATGGCTTTACTGAAACATCATCTAGCTAGAACAAAGCTACCGCTGTTATACTTACGACCTTATATAGTACTGAGAAGCAAATGATTTATGATGCTAATGTGATAACTACATTTCACTACGGAGGAGCTCCAGTAAATGTCTGACATTCTTGTTTCTGGTAATCTAACATAGTTGAGAAAATTCATTTCTTAACAAAAATAATCAGAATCAAGGTGACACTCTAGGAGCATTTTCTATTAAAACAGGTAGAATTAAGGGGAAATGCTGAAAATGCAAAAATGTTGATTGTATTTCTACATAATGTTTCCCTAATACAACATTTTGAAACGTATTTTAACGCTGTCACTATGCCTCATACAACAGATGTACTACACTGAACAAGTATCAGCATTAATGAATTTAATTGCAGCACCTAGACCAGAATAAAAGTACTTGGGACTTCTATGTCACCTATTCATCAAAAGATTGGGTAGAGCAACGGAACTTTGGATGGACAATGGAGAGCTTATTGAATGTTAAGGTCAACAAACTTTATATTCATCAACTACTTTATATTTTGGACTGACGTTATGTTTTAAGGGCTTAGGAATACCAAAAAACACCCAGATACAGTTATCTCTTCTTGAGGAAAGGAATTCAAGAACAATTCCTTAATTAAAGTTAATAATTAAAGTTAATTTAAGTATCATTTAGAAGCAGCAGACCAGACATATTTTTACGGGGCTGTAAGAATACTACTAATTGGATTACTTTAGGTAAATACCAAGTACTTAATTTAGGTCAAAATAAACCCAAAAAATATCTACTTTTCCTATGTTTAACAGAAACAAAATTAATCACCTACCAATTAGTTAAAAAGGAAAGGAAGACAGAGCACTTTTAAAAAAACTTTATCAATGTACAATAAACTTTAATGAAGTTAGTGGGGTAAGACTGAAGCAATTAAGCCCTTGGTGGTTACTGGTCTGACTTCCTTATTTGGTAACCCAAAATGAAGTGCCAAAGAGAAATATTAGAGGCTGGATTGCATCACTGGATTATTAACAGGACACTGCAAAGTTCCTATCAAGATTCCTTGCTTGCCAATTAGAAATGCAGTAATAAAATTTTATTATTCTAATTGCAAAACAGATAACCTATATGGCAAAGCTGAGACTTTAAACTGACTAATAAAAAGTCTATCTATAATTTTATAACTTAGTGAATTTACTGACCATCAGAAAAAGACAAAACAACCTCTTATGAAATTCAGAGACCAAAACCAAAGTACCTGATAAGTAGTACCCTTGGAGTGAAGATAATCACAGCAGGGCCTGTTGCAAAGTGCGTCAGCCACGGATGAGAGCAATGATTGTGTTCAAGTCTCAACTCCACAAACTGCTGGCTGCATGATCCCGGGAAAGGCTCAGTTTATTTATCTGCAGCTGATAACATTACTTTCTCTAATAATTTCACAGCATTGTGCCAAGATACAAATGAAAATTTCAAAGCACGTTGTGTTAAAAATAAAAGCACTATACAAGTATAAATTAACTTAGAACTTCACTGAGTATATTATTTTTGCATGACAATATTGAATGTCTGGCCATATTTAATCTTATTTTTGTTCCTGTTTTCACAGATAATGAATTCAAGGTTGTTAGTTCCCTCAAGTCAATCCTACAAGTTGGATTTAGTGGGAATTTGGATCTGTTTTGATTCCAAAATCAGGCAGTTTTTAATGTAAAAATATAATAATTTTAATAATATTGATAAAATCTAGGCAGGGTGTACACACTTGTAATTCAAACACTCTGAGAAGCTGAGGCAGGAGGATCACAAGTTCGAGCTTATTAGCCTCAGCAATCTAGTGACTTAGTGAGACCCTGTTTCAAAAAATAAAAGGCTGTGGATTGTGAAGGCCTGAGGTTTCAATCCTCACTATCACAAAACAATGTGCGCTGAATTAACAAAGCATTATAAACACAAATATAAGAAAGTTATCAGCAAATAACTGCTTCAACATACAGTGAGAAATATAGTAGACTAACACACCTTAAGAAAACAATTTTAAGAAGCAATACAGAACTTACTGATGATATAAGAGTTTACAACTAGAAGAACTATGGAAAAATCTCTACAGAGACAGAATCTAGTAAGTGACTACAGACATTTGTGAGCCAGGAAGGAGCTCAGAGAAGGGGAGAAGGGGACAAGGGAAGATGGGGGAGAGGAAAGACTGACTTCCAGACATCATTCTGGCCCTGCCAGCCTCATAGCCCATATCACCTACGACTAAGCCACCTGTACGTCCATCCAAATCATCCTGGGTCAGTCATATCTGATCTCCGGTTCCAATGTCCCTTTCTCTAGTCTCAGTTTGATAAGATCAGTGTATTTCAGACGAGATTGGGCACGTTCAGGGTGGTACGGCCATAGACAGATCAGTGTATTTCAGTGGCACCTAAGCAGGAGAAATTCTGCTTGTCATGAAGCTGTGAGCCTGCGGATTACAGGCCTTCCAACACTGCAGTAAGATTTTAAAACAAGGCCACTCAGAGTTGTCATTGGAAAGAACATTAGTGGACCATGAAACACAAAAACAAGAGCATCTCTATCATAGGGAAAACCAGCTGTGTTTTACCACGTAGGCATTGGACT